ACTTTTGAAACTTGAAAGTGATTTTCTGATGCTCAATAATCATAATCAGTTAATTTGATGTATAACATATGTTGTAGGAGATAACATTTGAATGTACTTCATAATAAGTCTTTGGTAAATTCCTATTGGAGGAAGTAATAGATAAAGCAAAAGGGTATAGAAGTAATTTCACTCTTTCTGTAACATTGTTGTTCTTCCACCAACCCTGAGTGGGCCCACACTATCAGGTATATGTACACAGCTGCCCACTAGCTTGGTGACATAAGAGTTCAGATAATCATTTATCACTTTCAAAATGCACATCCAAACACCTTTTTATTCTAATTATATGGTTGTTAGATGTGAAATATATATTAAAAAAAAAAAGCTTTATTTATTATTATTATTTTTTTTTTACAGTGTCAAGATGTGGAGGGAGTTGAACTATGTGGGACTTTAAAAAATATCGTTGCCATAGCAGCAGGTTCATTAATCCCTCTTTTTTATTTCGTTTTTCAATCGATATAATAATAAATAATTTGAAGGGTTTTAACGGGTTTAACTCGTTATTGGCAGGGTTTGTGGATGGATTAGACATGGGAAATAACACAAAGGTAGCTAGAATAAAAAAAAGGAACTTATAAAAAATCTTGAAAAGAAAAAAACAAAATCATAAAGCTACAATCTTGAATATTTTCTTGATTAATATGATACCACCAGGCTGCAATAATGAGAATTGGGTTGAGAGAGATGAAAGCCTTTTCAAAGCTCTTATTTTCTTCGGTTAAAGATAGCACGTTTTTTGAGAGCTGTGGTGTTGCTGATCTTATAACAACTTGCTGTAAGGAGGGGCAATTTTGTCTTTTATTCTGTTTCTTGTTTTCTTAGTTGATTTTCATAGATTTGAATATGTGATGGCAGTGGGAGGACGAAATAGGAAATGCGCAGAGGCTTTTGCTAAAAATGGTGGCAAAAGGTTTGTCATTTTTGCCATCAAATTTCACTCCATTAAATTTATTTATTATTATTATTATTATTTTTGTTATAATTTGCAGATCATTCGATGAGCTTGAAGCAGAGATGTTGCAAGGACAGAAGTTACAGGTAATTTCAGTTATACTGCAAAAGTTGAATATATAAAAAAAAACTCTCAAAAGAGGACACCTAACTAAGAATTTCATTTACATCAAATCAAGAAAAGTAGCGGAAAATGACGAAAATGTCAGTGATTAATATTTGTTAGGTTGTTAAAAAAAATGTCGACTTTGCGTACTTCATTGAAACTTTTAGGTGTTAAAATAGTGAAAAAAAAAAGGGTGGGGTAGATTGTCCCACTTTATGTATGTTAGGTTGTTGAAACATACAAAATTTGAACTTCAAATACTTGATTAAAACTTTTAGCGGTCAAAATATAAAAAACAAACGCTTTGAACTTTAAAAACTTGATTAGGTTGTTAAAACATAAAAATATAAGCTTTAGCCTTTAAGCACTTAACCAATGCATGAACTCAAGTTAAATATTCAAAATAAAGTTAACTTTTAATTATTAAAATTGAATCAAATGGCATAATGGTCATTTCACCAATGATATCTTATCTCCATTTCTCCAAGGCCCATCCATATAAAAACCAAACCGACTCCTTTTACCATTAGTGTTCTACGATTTATCTGTACATGTACCTGTAACTGTAACTGTAACTACATTTTTGTTTTGAAGGGTGTATCAACAGCCAAAGAGGTATACGAGGTTTTGAAACACAAAGGTTGGTTAGAAATGTTCCCATTGTTCACAACCGTGCACGAGATTTGCACAGGCCGTCTACCGCCAACCGCCATTGTTGAGTACAGCGAACACGCCCCGAAATTTCCCATTGCAGTCAACCCGGACGCATTTCAATGACTCATAAATCCATCAACAAAGTAACATGTACTCTACTTCTAGTTCATAAATGTAATCTTGAACTCGTTTTTTTGGTTTTTTTTAAGCATTTGTTGAATGAAAAAGGTAGAATAATGTTTCTACATAAGGGAATATTGCCAAATGCAAGTATATCTATCAGGAAAGCTTTCCGATTCCCCCTGTTTCAAGATCAAAATCCATTTTGAAATATTGTTGATCTTCGAACTTTATAAAAATCTTTTAGGGGGTGGTGTGAATCTATGCATTATACTTTCTTTTTAACCATTTAATATACTAATAAACTTCATTTATAATTATTTTATAAAATAAGATATTTATACGATATGGTTTATTTCACGTAAAAATTAAAATGATGAATTTGTTATCGTAGTAAATGTCATTTTATCTAAACAAATATATAATTTTGGTAAATTTACTAAATAATAAGAATTTATCAAACACTGAAATAATTGACAACTGACTATTTGTTGATTAAGGAAGTCTCCATGGTTTAAGTTACATAAAAAGGATTAAAAAATTAAAAAGAGAAAAGTGGTAAAAAGTTAATAATAAATTCATAAAAAAAACTTGCCCCCATGCAGGATCGAACTACAGACCTCCAGTTTACAAGACTGGCGCTCTACCACTGAGCTATAGGGGCTTAATCAATGGAAGAAATTATTGCGGCTTATTAATAAACGATATTTGCTTTATTAATCAAGGTAGATAGATTGTTTTATTCCTTTAGTAATCGAGAAAGATTGTCATATATCTTCACTAAATCAATAGGGATTTTGTTATAACTTATAAGTTAACTGATCATCAAATATTCTTTCATGGGTTCACCAAATATTCTTTCATGGGTTCATTGATCATTAATCAAGATCAATCCAACTACTAACTAGTTGACTCGATCCAAAGTCAAACTTAATAGAAATTTTCCAAATGTAGGTATGAACATTTATGGGCGGTGGTAGATGAAAGAATCCTTGAGTATGACTATTATATCTGCCTTAGTGGCTAAAATATAATAACAAAAACTTCGAATAAAAAACAAAGGTGGTGATTTGTACTGTAGAAGTCATCAATGCATGAACTCAAGTTAAATATTCGAAATAATGTTTTAATTAGGTTGATAAATTTGCAATATATAACCCTTGAACTCTAGGTTAGTTATCTATTAATTTCAGAATTATTAAAATTGAATCAAAGGGTATAATGGCCATTTCACCAATGTATCTTATCTTCATTTCTTGGAGCACCATATAAATATATCTGTAACCACCGTCCCACAACTGGAAAGTGAAATCTTAAAATGTGGTTTTGGATTCAAAACCAGTCGGACTCTTTTGATAATTGGTGTTCTGCGATTTATCTACTGTTACAGAAAACTACATTTTGGTCTTAAGTTACCGATTGGAGATTCTAAATTGTTGGAGGTCGCGAGAACTGCATTTATTTTAGGGTGGCGAAGTTAGTGAGAAAAAGATTATGTTGGTTAGTTGGAAGTCTACTATGAATTCCTTGGAGAAAGGTGGCATTGGGATTGGAAGTGTTGAGTCGTTTAACTAGGTCCTTTTGTTGAAATGGAGGTGATGATTTGCTTCTAATACTCTAGCTCTTTGGATTAAAGTGATAAATTAAGTCCATTCCCAGGGAGGGTGGTGATTTGAGTTTGGAATATTGTTAGTTCCATAATTAACCTTCATGATAGACATATTATTTCTGTAGACACTTTGAAAAAAAAAAGTTGGGGTCGATAAAAATACTCGTTTTTTTAAGGACGTTAGAAATGTGTCTCTCAATGTTGCTTTTCTTAGGTTGTTACAATTGGAAGTGGAAGCTAACTAGCTTATTGATGATAGACGCGAAAAGCAACCGTAACAACCTAGGAAAAACAGTGGTAGATGGTGCGAATTTGATCCACCCTTTCAAGGTCATTATGGCAAGGACGTTTTTATTTTGACATTGCCATAATCGTTTTTCAAAGGATCAGAAGATGGTGCGAACTTGATATTGCTTCTCTGAGTAGAGTAGAGTCAGTGATCTTTCTACTTGGTTAGAGACCGGTCATTTTGTTGGTGACAAAAAACCGATTCTCGATGCTATTATTTTTATGACCTGGTGTAATATTTGGAAATTTTTAGATATACATTTGTTTTTTTTTATAGAGTTGAACCGAGAAAATGTTATTTTTTATAGTATAGTGGGTTGTTCTTGTAATTGTGTTATGCATAGAAAGAATAAACTCAATTATGTTTTGAGTTATTGGCTTAAAAACACGTTGCTAATTCCTTTCATTATAAGGATATAGAGGAAATTTTTCCTTAATATAATAACTTCGTTTATAATTATTTGATATAAAATACTATATGAAATGGTTTATCTCAGGTAATTAAAATGATAAATTTGTTTGTATCTTTGTTGAAGTAAACGTCATCTTATTTAATAAATATATAATTTTGGTAAATTTGTTTACTAAATTTTTAAATAATAAGAATTTATCAAACACAGAAATAACGGACTATTAGTAACTTGTTTTTTACTGTTGATTATCAAACTGTACAAAATCATATGAAAATATTCCAAAAGAACATCGAACATTCCTTAAAATTTGTTATGATGGGCATATTTTGTTTATTAGAGTTGCTAGGTTTAGATTATATAAAAAGGATTATTAAAAATAGAAAGATAAAATTAAGAAAAGCGAAAAAACAACTGAAATGCCCCCATGCAGGATCGAACTACAGACCTCCAGTTTACAAGACTGGCGCTCTACCACTGAGCTATAGGGGCTTAGTTGATACGAAATATCCTACAGATTATCCATAACCGATATTAAACTTCACTAATCAAAGTACATTGCTTTATGCTTAACTAATCAAGAAAGATTGTCTTATATCTTCACTAATCAATAAAGATTCTGTTATATAATTTTGGTGATCATCAAAGAATGTTTCATGGGTTCCTTGTTTTTGAGATGAATATATGAAAAGTGTCCATCTTTATTCACTACAAACTATATATAACTAATAACTATAACCCAAAACGAAATATATCACTATATAATCAAGAAAACCACTTACATATATAAACAACAAAGAATATATCCATTCATTGATCATTCATAAATCGGCTTAAAATTCTTGTAAGCTATAACAGCATAAAAAGGATCCGAACCAGACAACAATCCAAATACCCCTTTAATCCAATCAAAACCCGAACTAATATCCGGTTTTTTGCCATCAGGTAGTTTCCTCACCACTTCCGGTTCAGTGAACCCTTCAACACACTGAAAATACTGAACCACCAACTGCACCCTACTGAACCCGGTTCCTTCTCTCCATGCACCAATCGCCTTTTCATAGAACATCCGGTTGCTAAAGCTCACAATAAACACACCACCGGGCCTCAATAACCGGAACACCTCCGCAAAAACCTTCTCCGGCTGTTCAAGATACTGAACACTAACTGTGCATAACACAGCATCAAAACTACCACTTTCGAATTCGAATTTCTGATCTTGGTTTAGATCTTTAACAACGAAGTAATCGAGTCTCGGGTTCTTGGCTAGCTCCTGTGGGTTCAGTCCATGTCCGATGACTTTCTTGTATTTGACATTTTCAGGAAGATGGCTAACCCATGAGCTCATGAGGTCAAGAATTTCGAAATCTGGGCTCAATCTATCTCTGTAAAGATTGGTTAGTGTTTTAATGAAGTTGTTATCGACATGGGTGACGAATCTTGGGTAGGTGTAGAAGTTTCTGTCTGGAGTAATGTCGAATTTGGTTCTGCCTTCTTTTGTGAGAACTGTACGTTTGATTTTTCCTGCTGATGAGGTTGAAGATTGTGGGGTTTTTGGGTCGATTTGGTTTTGGGTGTTGAAGAAGATTGTTGTGGGTTTGGGATTAGGGTTCCATTTGAAGGGCTTGAGAGTTGGTTGAAAGGTGTTCATGTTCACGAGGAAAGCTTGTTTCTTGTTCAGAAGCTTTGTTGTGTTGTGTCCATTGAAAAGGAGAATAAGAGATGGATAAGTTGATGTTTTTTATTTTTTATTTTTTATTAAGTAAATATTTTCAGTGGTGGAAATGACAAATGGGCTTATGGGCATGAATTAATGAATATATGATATATTTTAAATGGGCTTAATTGGGTTGCATTTTTTAGGTTCAATTTTTCCATCAATGATGGATTGGGTCCATACTCCATACTCCGTAATTTAAAGGTGCATCCGGTTTTTAAAAAATCGGCTTTCTTTAGACCGAATTCAATTATAATCGGTTTGAGTTTTTTGATTTTTTGAAAGTCAAATTGTTTGGATAAAAAGTCGGTTTGGTTCGATTTTTTTAGAAAAATCAAGAAATAAATTGGACCAATTAATAAGTGGGGATTCAATTTTAAGCTAACATGTTTTGGGAATACTGCTTCGGTTTTTTTTTTTTTTTTTTTTCTTCCTTATTAAAAACAGTTTGAAATATGCACCTCTACTCTGTATTAGAGTTGCACAAAGTAAACTGTTTTTTTCTTAACCAGCCTCAACTGAAATCGATTGTCGGTTTGATATAGGTTTTTATAAATAACTAAAACCATTATTTTTTCCTGGTTTTTTTTTACTGTTTTTTCCATTGTAACCGAACCATTTTTTAATTGAAAAAAGATTTTTTAAAGCGATTTCACTTCAAAAAAAACAAACTAATTAAATATTATTGATAAATTATGTATAAAACTTAAAGTTCATTACCTTTCTAAGTTATTATTTCATATTTTTAATAGAAAGTCAGGACAAATATGGTTAAATTCAGATTTTGAGATTAAATAAAGTTAATTGATAATCATTATCTAAGGGGTTGTTGATTAAGTCAGTCCTAAGTATGATATCAAACAATCTGAATATGACCGAATCAGACCCAACATCTTACTAGACCAAGTAAGATGCATATCAAATCTACTCTAATAAATGAATGTTTTTTTGCCACTTGTCACACTCTCATACAATTTGCCAAATGTCATTTTGTGGTTATTTTGAATTAATTTTTTTTCCACATGTCATTTTATAAGTTTTTCTATTTTATTAAATTCCACATAATATTTTAATGTAATAATTGTAATAAATATAATAATAAATAGATATCAATTTCATTAATAAATTTACCTTTTAATTTTAAAATTACCAAAATTAAAGCTCATTAGTTTTTTTGTTTATTTATTTAAATTATTTGTTTAAATTTAAAAAATAAAAAAACATCTTCATTATAATAATTTATTATTTTTCTTATTTTCTTATAAATTAAAAGTTTTCAAATATTTAAATCTTTATATATAACTTTTTTTTTAAATTAACTCATTTAATATATGGGTCTCACAATTAGTAACCTTAATATATGATATGAGTGGCAAAAATAATTCAAATCATGCGATCTACTTACAAAAAGACGGTAATTTTGATATGGAATTTTATTAAAAAGAAAGTTAAGCCGAAGGAGGCCGTTAGTTATAAAGCCCGGACCGTTTATCCTTTACGTGGGCTGCAAATGGGTTCCATAACTAATCATGGGTTGAAAGTTACTTAAGGATTCATAAAATTTCGATGTCACGGTTTATAAAATTTGGGTTCTATTTGGTCGTTGGTTTGCAAATTCTTGATCATTATACTTTTTTTTCATGGTTAAAAAGGATATATTAGTATACTACATCTTGGAAACCAAGTAACCAGTTCAAACCGGTTATGCATTTGAAATCACGGTCTAGAAAGGTCGGGACGGATTTCAGGTATTTCTTTTTTATCTTTAGAAAATGCAACATTTTTTAAAGATAATAATAATAATAATAATAATAATAATAATAATAATAATAAAAAGAATTAGAATAAGAAGGGGGGAGTATTAGATTAAGGATTCTAAACTTGATCTTATCAAAAAGGGTATCTGCCAAGTCAAGTTTTCTTCGGCAAACCATAAAAGCAAAACCCCAACACAAACAACACAAGAAATCAATCAGTCAATCAATTCACTTTTTTTCCTCATATTCATCGTCATCAAATTAGGTTTCAACAATGTCCTACGATTACCTTTTCAAATACATAATCATCGGTGATACAGGTATTCTTTTCTCCCAATTGTATCTTTGATCATTGATCATGTAAACCCTAAACAGTTCAATTTCAGAAAACCTAATTCAACTTAGTATAACGAATTTTGGTGTTTGTTCACTCTCAGGTGTAGGGAAATCGTGTTTGTTGCTGCAATTCACCGACAAGAGGTTTCAACCAGTTCATGACTTGACTATTGGAGTCGAATTCGGTGCTCGTATGGTCGCCATTGATGGCAGGCCTGTTAAGCTTCAGATTTGGGATACCGTATGTGTTTTTTCTAATTTCCTGATTCTTCAATTGATTCTGCTGCTAGATTTCTAGTTTTTTCTGCGTAAATTCTTGATGATGATAGTAAGGATTCATGAATTAATGGTGAATGATTCAGGCTGGCCAAGAATCATTCAGATCGATCACCAGATCATATTACAGAGGAGCAGCTGGAGCTCTTCTGGTTTATGACATCACTAGGTATGTGTAGCTATCATATCATATCATATGTAACGATTTTATTGCATTCACAAGTTGTATTCATCATTGATGATCTATTTTGTTTATTCAATTCCAGGAGAGAAACATTCAATCATCTAGCTGGATGGCTTGAAGATGCAAGACAACATGCCAATCCCAACATGACAATCATGCTTGTAGGAAACAAAAGTGATCTTTCCCACAGAAGAGCTGTCAGCAAAGAGGAAGGAGAACAGTTTGCAAAAGAAAACGGACTCTTGTTCTTGGAAGCATCTGCAAGAACAGCACAGAATGTTGAAGAGGTACACCCTGTTTCTGTTTCCATCTTTTAAAAACTTGAAATGGATTTTCTAATTGGTTTTGTTTGATTTGCAGGCGTTTCTTAAGACTGCAGAAAAGATACTTCAGAAGATCCAGGAGGGTGTGTTTGATGTATCAAATGAGGTAATTAATTGGATTTTAATTCAAGATTTATAAACTTATGATTTATGAAAAGGTGAATTGTTAATTTGTAGTCATCGGGGATAAAGGTGGGATATGGACGTCCTCAAGGTACAGGAGCAAGAGATGGAACAGTTGCTCAGAGCGGTGGATGTTGTGGTTGATCTTGATTCTTGAAGAAGCATATATTATTATTATTATTTTTATTTTTTAATATTGGAACATAATATGTAATGTATAAATATAAGTGGATTTTGGTCTTTTGAACCAATTTGATCATCATCTTTTAGTTATGTAACTTGAAAATTGTTATGGAGGTGTATTATATAAATAAGAAGATAAATACTTAATTAAATGCACATAAAGTAAAAACAAGTAACTAAATTTAGACCACACTTTTTGGGCATTCTGGCTCACGGATTTCAAAGAAATTGAAATGCAAATTCCAGTAAAAATTATGTTTTGGTTGATAAAATCAAAGAAATTAGAATTTTTTAAATTTTATTAATTTTTTTGTTTAAAGAAATTGATTATTTTTTGGATAAAAACAAGGCTGTTCAGATCGAGATCTTATCAAAGTTAACTTATATTCAAATTTGATTGTAAGATATTGAGTATAAAATATACATTATAGCTTGATGTTGATTGAGATCTTGATATGGAGTTATCTCTAACTTTTCAAATATGAAACATATTTTTTGTTGTTGCAAACCGTAAAAAATTAGAAAGTAAACATCTTAAGTGCAAAAAGAAATAAGATCATTATGACCATGTACAACTAAAGGCTTAAGATCACAAAGAATGTACCATGAGTATGAGGTGCCTAATTTGAAATGAATTTATGAAACATAGAGGCTTATTGAAACTTACAATACTCGATCTCAAGTTGAGACGAATTTTTAGGCACGACTATATAATAAAACTAAAGAGGTGAGATCGGACCGTGTTAAGATCCTAATATCCTAGTCGGGATCTTAAGATCTCCCTATAGATCTCGTTTCAAAAAGATCCTACTAAGATTGTGATAGAAACTGATTTAATTAAACAGTAGAATGCTTACTATTTAGATTAACAGGGCCAAATTCGAGATGGCAAATCTCCTCAATTACAAGAACACAAATTACTTATTATCTGACTGAAAACTGTAAAACATCAACTATAGGTTTATTACAGAAAAGATAACTGCTCCTAACTTATTGGATCAGAACTGTTCCTTCTCTTTTAACTATTATGTTGTTGACCTAAAGGATCCAACTGATTTCCAAAAAGGGCATTAAACTGCTCTTGCTCCTGCCTCTTAACTCGGGACTTCTTTCTTGTATACACTTGTAGGTTCTTATCATTACTTCCCCCTCGGTAAAACGACTTGTCCTCAAGTCGAAAATAAGGAAATTGCTCAACAAATAGATCGTAAGATTCCCAAGAAGCTTCTTCCATAGGACGATTAGCCCAAGAAACTAGTAATTCGAGTACAAGTTGGTCTGCTTCATGCATCCATCGATGATCAACAATTGAAGCAGGTTGAACATCAAATTCTCAATCCTTTGTGATAGGCAAAGGAGCAATAGAGGTTGGAGAAAAAGACCCTGGAACTGGTTTGAGCATAGAAACATGAAACACAGTATGTATTTTCGCATCCGGAGGTAATTCAAGCTCATAAGCCACTGGCCCAATGACACGTTTAATCCGATAAGGACCAAAGAATCGGGGAGATAGTTTTTCAAAACGACGTTTAGCTAAGTTGTGTTGTCGGTAAGGTTGAATCTTTAAGAATGCATAATCCCCAACCTGAAAAGTAACTTCACGTCGTTTGGTATTTGCTTGATTACGCATTCTATCTTGAGCTTTCGTAAGATTGAGACGTAACAATTGCAACATATGATCACGATCAACTAATTGTTGTTCCAATTCTGCATTTTTGGTTTCGCCCATTACATAAGGCAAAAGGAGAGGAGGATCGCGACCATACACAATGGAAAAAGGAGTTGTGCCTGCGGAAGTATGGTACCCAGTATTATAAGAGTATTCAGCCCATGCTATATATGAACTCCATTTAGTTGGTTGTTCGTGAGCGAAACAACGCAAGTAGGCCTCGAGACACCGATTGAGAACTTCTGTTTGACCATCCGTTTGAAGATGGTAACTGGTACTCAATTGCAATTTAGTTCGACTCAAACGAAAGAGTTCCTGCCAAAAAATGCTCAAGAAAATAACATCACGGTCCGAAGTAATGGAACGAGGAAAACCGTGTAGACGAACAATTTCCTTACAAAAAAGGGCAGCAACACTTTTTGATGTAAAGGGGTGAGACAAACTCAAAAAATGAGTGTATTTGCTTAAGCGATCAACTACCACCAAAATAGTATCAAACTTGTTGGATGGGGGTAACCCTACAACAAAATCCATTGAAATGTCCTCCTAAATTTGAACTGGAATTGGTAAAGGTTGGAGGAGACCAGCTGGGGAAAGTGTTTGGTATTTTTGTTGCTGGCATACGAGGCAATTTTGCACGAATACCCTGACTTCCTGTTTCATTTTTGGCCAAAAGAACTGGAGGGATAATCGTTTAAGGGTTTTTAAAAAACCGCCATGTCCGCCAACTGGTGAATCATGACACTCTTGAATTAAACTAAGTTTAAGATCAGGTATGTCTGGAATAACCATCCTTCCTTTGAAAAACAAAAGCTGGTCATGCGAAGAGAAATCAGGAACTAAAGAAGGATTTGTATGGAGCTGTTGGAGAATGTCGATTGTATAAGGATCTTGTTGAATGCCTTTTTTAACATCAACGAGTTCGACACAATAGGGTACAGAAAGAGTGAACAGTTCACCTGAATGGGGTCGTCGAGAGAGTGCATCCGCTCCCTTGTTCTCTTTTCCAGCCCTATGAGTTATAGAAAAATCATAGGGCATCAATTTAAGTAAAAGTCGTTGTTGTTCAGTTTTCGTGATGCGTTGTTCCAACAGAAATTTCAAAGTGTAATGATCGGTACGAATAAGAAAGTGACGACCCAATAAATAGTGATTCCATTTCTGAACAGCAAGAACAAGAGCTAACAATTCTCGATCATATGCTGACTTAAATCGATTGGAGGGAGAAAATCCTTTGCTAAAGTAAGCAATAGGATGCTCCTCTTGAGAAAGAATAGCACCAATTCCAGCTGAAGACGCATCGCATTCAACTATAAATGTCTTGGAAAAATCTGGTAACCGGAGAACAGGGGCTGAAAGTATAGCTTGTTTCAAGGTGGTAAACGCTTCTAATGCCTCGTTAGACCACACAAAACCATCCTTCTTTATAAGATTAGTCAAAGGTCGTGCAATCAAACCATAATTTCGTACAAAACATCGGTAATAACCGGTGAGACCGAGAAAACCGCAAACTTCTTTGACATTAGAAGGGATGGGCCATGATTGTACAGCCACAATTTTCTCCTGTTCCACTTGAACACCATCCCGGGTTATGATATGCCCCAAAAAAGAAACTTTAGATTGTCCAAAACAACACTTTGAAAGCTTGACATAGAACTGATGATCGCGTAGTAATTTCAAAGTTTGCTCAAGATGCGAAAGATGTTGTTCCATGTTCGGGCTGTATACTAGTATATCATCAAAGAAAACTAGTATAAAACGGCGTAAATAAGGACGAAACAAGTCATTCATGATCGCCTGAAATGTGGAAGGGGCGTTAGTTAGACCAAATGGCATTACCTTAAACTCATAATGCCCAGAATGAGTACGAAAAGCTGTTTTTGGAATGTCCGGTCCATGAACTCTGATCTGATGGTAACCGGAGTGAAGGTCCAGCTTGGAAAAAACGGTAGCTCCATATAATTCGTCCAACAGTTCATCAATATTTGGAATTGGGTATTTATCAGCTATCGTTATTGTATTGAGGGCTAGATAATCTACACACATCCTCCAAGTGTTGTCTTTTTTCTTGACAAGTAAAATCGGACTTGAAAAGGGACTGTTGCTAGGTTGAATAAAGCCCGCTGCTAACAATGCTTCCACTTGTTTTTCAATTTCAGCTTTTTGGTAATGAGGGTATCGATAAGGACAAATATTTGGTGGGGTAGAATTCGGTAGTAAGGGAATATAATGGTTCTGTGAACGGTTGGGAGGAAGACTTTTAGGTTCTTCAAAGACCTGATCATAACAGCTTGTCACTGATTGAAGCACTTTGGGAATTTCTGGTGGAGTAACCGGTTCAACAGCCAGGTATTGAAAACTAGAAGATTTTTGTGAGCCCGTAGTAATTCCCTGCAACTTATAAGTTTTGCCATCTACCTTAAATATCATAAACATCTCTTTCCAATTTGCTTGGACTGTATTTAATGTCTCCAACCATTGAATACCCAAAACCACATCTGCTCCACCAATCGAAAAAGGATAGAAGTCCTGGACAACTTTGAGATCATTGATTTGTATTGGAAGATTTTTACACATGTGACCACATCTGATGAAATCACCATTTCCAATCTGAACACCAAACGGTGCCACTGATCGAGTATTAAGTCTCAATTCCTTAACCAGTACATCTGAGATGAAATTATGTGTAGATCCCCCGTCAATTAAAATAATTACTTCTGTAGATTGGAGCATACCTTGAACCTTCATAGTTCTGGGATGGGGTTTTCCAAGAATGGCATGTAAACTAATTTCCGCCACATCATTCATATCTTCAGCCATCTCTTCAGTTTCATTAGGAGACTGCTCTTCAAGCTTTTCTTCCACTTCCAGCACCTTGAGAGTTCCTGTTTTACATCGATGACCTGGTCCATACTTCTCACCACACCGAAAACATTCCCCTTTAAGAAATCGAGATTGCCTGTCTGCATCAGAAATTCGCAGGGGTGGTTTGGTATTATTTTTGGTAAAGTTTGTTGTGTGGAGTCGTATCTTTGTACTCATTTTGATATGCTTTTGATGGTGTTGTCCAAGTAGATCCCCTCCCAAATCGGGTATGGCTGAGTTTAGATTCAAATTCTAAAGCGATACTTACCGCTTTGTATACTGTTCGTGGTTTCTGTATTCGTACATCCGCCTTCAATTCTTCTTTGAGGCCATTAAGGAACACTCCTAAAAGACAATGTTCCGGCCAATTAGACACTCGTGAGGATCGTTTGGCAAACTCTTGTCGGTATTCTTGTACCGTTCCTGTTTGTTTAACACTACACAAGAATTCGTCCGGATTCTGGAACTCAGTGGGTCCAAAATTTCTTTGCAAGGCTCGAACAAAATCCTCCCAAAAATCAACCGATTGATCAGTAGATATCCAAGAATAAAAATCCAATGCATCACCCTCCAAATGCATCGATGCTACATCCACCTTTTCTTCATTTGGAATGTCATAATAGCGGAAGTATTTTTCTGCTTTAAGAATCCAACCCCGTGGATCGCCTTCACTAAAGGTAGGAAAAACAATTTTGTTGTGGGGTCGGTGCCTTTGATTATGCCCAGATGATTCTCCCTCATCATGTCTTCCATTACCCCATCTTTCTCTATTGTGCGATTGAGATTTGAGGGCTGCTACCTCCCTCTGCAACGAATCTATAGATTCCAACTTCTTAGCAATTGCGGTTAGTTGCACTGCTACAGGATCTGGTGGCTGATTTCCCTCTTCTGAATTGCTCCGGGTTTGAACCATGTCTTCAAGAAGTTTCCCGGCAATGGAACCAAATGATAGAAACTGATTTAATTAAACAGTAGAATGCTTACTATTTAGATTAACAGGGCCAAATTCGAGATGACAAATCTCCTCAATTACAAGAACACAAATTACTTATTATCTGACTGAAAACTGTAAAACATCAACTATAGGTTTATTACAGAAAAGATAACTGCTCCTAACTTATTGGATCAGAACTGTTCCTTCTCTTTTAACTGTTATGTGGTTGACCTAAAGGATCCAACTGATTTCCAAAAAGGGCATTAAACTGCTCTTGCTCCTGCCTCTTAACTCGGAACTTCTTTCTTGTATACACTTGTAGGTTCTTATCAGATTGTGATCGTTTCTGGCTTATAGGATCTTAAAATTGTCAGATCGTAAGATCAAGAATTGGGATCTTGATAACAATGGATAAAAGTATAATTTTTTATTCCTTCTCATTTATTAAAAAAAGAACACCAGACATATTTGAAATCCTAACAAATTTCATTCTTGCCAAAAACATTTTGCGAACCAAACACACTATTCTACTTGCTCTAACTCCATGCTTCTCTATGGTTGGATCTTACCCTTTTATGCAACAAACAATGAGCGTTATTATTATCCCTCTCTGACGGCTTAACATGTATCATAATAAACAAATCAATAAAAGAAGGTTGCTATTACTATTTCTAGCATCACAAGACACTCTACCATGCAAACCAGGCTAAGTGACCCATTTATTGGCAGCGTGAAAGTTGATTTAAACAAGCAAAAAAAAATTAAAATTCCAACTATAATCAAAACTTGTGCTGCTTGGTGTACAACAACTACCAAAAAAATAAAATATATTGGAAAAGGAAATAAAAATGAGAGATGAGATGTTGATCATGATCATCTTCTGTCTCCAAATTGTCCTCCAGGGTTCCTTCCAAATCTTACCCGCAAATTGTCAACAGTACGAGACACCAACACCAATCTTGGATCATCCGCGGGTATCTCCCGATCCTAAAAAATATATGTTGGATATTTTTTATCTTAAAAACTTACATACAATTCAAATATAGTTTATTAGTTAGATAATAACTACTAATTATTATTACAGCATCCATATTCTGGTAAACTTCTTGTCCGGTTTTTTATTTTCCAACAACTTTATTCAATAATAAAAAGAACTGTTGTCATAAGTGGTTTGATTCTTTTCAAAACTTTTTTTCTTTTTCTTTTTAAATCACATTTAATATGAATTCTATTATAAAATAAAGGAAATGACATACCTTTAAACCACTGTAATATGCTTGAACAGCAGGAAGTGATGGAGTTATATTACGAGCTTGCATCAGATCCCATACCATATTAGCAATCGTATATCCTCCACTCTGCAACATAAAAAAATTAAATTAATACAAAATCTTTTTGATACTCAAAATAATTAAAAACAATAAAAAAAAATCCTGCTTACCTTTTCACCAGCTGCTGCAAGAAGAAGAGCATTTCCCGTTGATGGGACCAAATTAATACCCCTAGAAGTCATTTCCGTCTAAATCAATAAAAACACAAAAATTAATGATTTATTAGAAAAACATTAACAAAAATTCAAGTATATGTATTATGTAGGGGCAAAATCGTCAGTAATTTACCAGCTTCTCCAAAGCAACTTGCATACCCTTGGGTGTGTAACCAGTCATGGCTCCCTCTATAAGTGTCTGCATGAATAAATAGTTAAAGACCACATCTTTTTTTTTTATAAAATTTATTCCAGATATGAAACATATATAATATATAATCCTAAACTTACAGCATAAAGCTCTGGTACAGGTGGATTGTTTGAGCTCATGTAGTCTTCAAAAGCTTTGACCCCACGATCGATATCTCCACAACTCAGATAACACCTAAATGTCAATAATCATCATAGATAAATATTTTTTTTTTTAAAGAATTGAGAATATCAAATTATCAATATTACTAGAACTTAGTCACCTCACCTCATGATTTGAATCAGTATGAAAACATCAGGGTTTTTGTTATCTTTCTTAAGCATCTCCTGAAGAGCATCCACTGCCTACAACATTATACATGTCATATTGTGTATTTGAATATTTGATTATAATGAATCAGTACCTCAACATCTTTAAGATCTGCACAAGCATGGAAAGCAACATGATAAACTGTGAAAAACCTTTGGACGAAACCGCCCCTCCTGTGAATATAATTAGCAGTAGGGATATCATATAACTCTTCCTCAGAAATCCCCATCATCACATTTTCAGCACTGTCCCTAGTCTGTTCTAGTGAAGACCACCCTTTGGATTGCTCAACAAGCTCCAAGATCTTTTTCATGAAAAATAATAACATTTAAATTCATGAAACTGGAAAATAAAAATATATAAAGATAGTTCAAGAATTACTTTAGCAGATGTGTCTTTGGCTAATGGAGTCTTGTTCTTATGTGCAGCTATAAGTCCCGCATAGCAGAATTTGTTTAAACCAAGTCCAGCAGCAGTCATATCACGAATAATTGCATATCTGAAATGGTAATTTAATATTATATGATCATATGATAATCATAATATGTCTCTATTGAAGTGTTGACATATAAATAGATAATGAAATGCTTACACTTGATCTACTCTGCCAGTGGCTGCACATGCATTGATTAGACAGATGAATGTTTGTCCAGTAGGTTTTACTTCAAGCTTTTTCATTTCTTCAAAGATCTTTAGTTAAAGAGACAACAAATGGTTAGGAGATGAAAAGCTACGAAGGTATGATACAGAGTTACAGATACAAAGGAGTGTACTATTACTATATACCCGTGTTGCTTCAGTGGAGTTCTTACACTTCCCACATGTTGAGATCATGAAGTTGTACAAAACAACCTGTAACAAATATGAACAATGTCATGAAACAATTAACTGTTAGAAACAAAGTAACAGGAGGCAGAGATTCGATCATTAGAGTAAAGAAACTTACATCAGGAATCAAACCCATGGATTTCATTTGATCACGGAAGAAGAAACAGTCCTGTAGACGGACGCCTTTCATGCTACCAGCGATCAGCGCGCGAAATGTATCTTTCTCTGGTTTCACTCCATCCAACATCATATCATCATATACATCCCTCAACAAGTAAATCCTATAAATGAACATCCCTATCAGACTCATGAATTCGAAATTCTCAGAAACCCTAAAAGTAACGTGTATGATTAAACAATGAAACCATCGCGAAATGAGGGCGAGAGACATACCTTCTTTGAGAAGTGAGAGATCCAATGACGGTATTGTATTCAGACACATTGTTGGCGTAGTTTCTCTTGGCATAATCGTCGGCGGAAACGGCAAACTGACGACGGCCAAGTGCTGCGAGCAGTGGCTGGCGATTGGCTGATGAAACAACAACAACAACAACAACAACAACAACAACAACAACAACAAAGATTAAGAAATTGGATTAGTGAAGAAATTTGGATAAGAAATAAGGAAATAAAATTGATCCCAAACCTACCAGAGATACAACGCAGGAACTTCATGGATTTGAAAATCTGGGGAGAGCTAAGATTGAGAGTGAGAAATGACGAGGGTTCTTCCGAGGTTTTGGTAAAGGAACAAAGAATGAAAGAAATGAGAACACTTGAAACCCTTTTGGTTATGGTTATGCAAATTAAATTACGAATTAAATCTAAAAAAAGTACTTAATTCATTGGCAAAATACATAAAAACATAACTTATATTATATATTATATAGGGGTAATTATTAATCTAACCAAATTAAGGAAGTGATTATCAAATTTTAGCCAAAAATTAGTAAATGTCCAAATATAGCCCACGAAACCATAAGTTTCTAAAATCCTCTACTGTTTCGCCATATTGTCTACTGTTTCGTGTTTTGTATATATTTTTTTTTTTTTTTCATTTGTAAGCTACAAAACCGTAGGTTTTGGGAAACCGACGGTTTCCTCTCGATTAGCTACGGTATCCCAAACTGTAGCCTACGGTTTTGGGGGAAAATACGGTTTTTTTTGTCTACTGTTCTTGGGGTTTCGTCTACTGTTTTGTGAAAAAACCTACGGTTTTAATTTTTTTTTTAAATTTTTTTTAAATTTTTTTATAAGATGTAGAATTATTTTAACAATTATTTTGTTAAAAATTTTTAAGAATTCAAAACATTAGACTTTAAAAAAATAAAAAATAAAAAATAAATAAATAAACGGATTCTTTTTGTGATATAGAGAATTAAAAAGATTGTTTATAAGATGTAGAATTATTTTAACAATTATATTGTTTATAAAATGTAGAGTTGTTTTTTGACAATTATTTTGTTAAAAAATATTTTTTGTAAAATATAAAAACTAGTTTTGCTAAACTTTACTACTTTTTTGTCAGAGTGGACTACTGTTTTGTAAAACTTGACTACTTTTTTGTTAGAGTGGACTACTGTTTTGTTAAACTTGACTATTTTTTTGTCAGAGTAGATTACTATTTTGAACCTACCCTATATATATATTAAGTATTTCATATTTTTGAAATTATTTTGTATTTCGAAAACTGCACTTCTCTCTAGTTTCTTTATTCTCAAAATTAACATAATGAGTTGTAATGAATATTTTGTATTGCTCATTACGGATGGAAGATGGGAGTTTGTTAATTCCCAATTATCATATGTTTGGCCACCCGAATACAATCCGAGAATGTTTTATTTCGGTGTTGAATTTTACGAAACCACCACGTACACCGAATTTGTTCATTTGGTCAAGTGCAAGATGAGTCTTCCCGAAGAATCAAAAGTCAGTATGGCTTATCAACATCCAGAACAACTCTATTATTGTGGTATTGTTGATGATCGTGATATTAGAAAGCTGATCAAGGTAATAAATATCGTTGGAGATAAATTTGTGTCTGTCTATGTGGTGGTTGAAGAAGGCGTATCGCGTAACGAAGTGGATGATAGAGGAAAGGCATCTGCAGCTAATTTATCAAGTGGAAAAGGGAGCAACAACCCAATAGGTAATTTTAAAAGTCCAAGTAAAAGTCAATATCATAGTATCGCTGAAAATGTAAATGTAGTGCCTGTAGTGACAGAACCGATTATGTATGTTACACCGGAGAATTATAAGTATATCGGTGATAATGATGTTGGTACATATGTTAATGATGTTGGTGTAAATCATTACTTTTACCAAAAAAAGGCACTAGATGTGGTGGATAAGGTTGGTAATGAATCTGCAAAACAAGAAGTTCCATTTTTGCATGATGGTGAACTAAAAGGATATGGCGAGTTTGCGGATTGTGACAAGTTGGATATATCCGGCCTAGAGAGTGATTCTAACGGAGAAGAATTTGATGATGAACCTAAAGTTATTTATTCAGATACCATGTTTCATGGTATGCCCCCATTGCCTTCGTGTCCTGTAAACGATGATGTGAACATTCCATGTCAGATGGTGGATATAAATGAAGAGATTAAGGTTCTAGACATTTTTGATGACAAAGAGTTGCTCAAGCTTGCAATTGGAAGACAATGCATGGAACAAGGTAAGCAGTATAAGACTACCAGATCGAGCAAAGAGAGGTTCGAGGTGGTTTGTTTGGTAGAAAATTGTTCTTGGATGGTTAGGGCAAGGGGAATCAAATCGACTACTGCTTTCCAAGTCACAAAAGTTGTTGACCAACACACTTGTTGTGCAACAAACTTGGAGTCTAATCATCGACAATCAAAGAAAAAGGTACTCGGGCACTTTATCGCTGAAGTATTGGCCGGAGATTATAATAGAGTTTATCGGGGTAATGAAATTGTGAGGGACATCAATTCGAAATTTCCAATCAATATCTCATACCAACAGGCATGGTGGGCAAAACAGTATGCGTTGTTGATGTTAAGAGGTACCAAAGAGGATTCATTCACCAAACTACCAATGTATCTGCACAACTTGGTGAAGCACAATCCAGGAACTGTTACTCAGATAAGAACAGACGATGATGATCGGTTTGAGTTCGTGTTTATCGCGTTGGGTTGCTCGGTAAGCAGTGATAATTTTTATAACAAATATAAATATGAATCCTAATTGGTATTTGTTAATGCAATAAAAAATAATTGTAGGTACGAGCGTTCATAAAATATTGTAGGCCGACCCTAATAATTGATGGTGGTCACCTAAAGGGTGAATTTAAAGGTACGATGTTGCTCGCAGTGACAATGGACGGTCAAAACCAAATCATGCCTGTTTCTTATGCCATATGCAAAAGTGAATGTACGGAGACGTGGTCCTGATTCCTTCGAAAAGTACGTGAATGTATAGGCAACCTGGAAGACCTTACAATCATATCTGATAGGGCTCCATCCATAGCGACGTCAATTGCAAATATATTTCCTCACGCCCATCATAGAATATGTGGTATCCATTTGTATTTCAACATTTCAGCAAAATTTGGAAGCAACGATACAATACACGCATTATTTTGGGAGACATGCAAAGCGTATACTATTAAAAAATTCGATAATGGGATGAAAAAAATTAAAAATGTAAATAATCGTGTATGGGAATACCTACAAAACATCAATCCAGAAAGATGGGCTAGGGCACATTTTCCTGGGAATCGGTATTTTCTTATGACATCAAATAGTGCGGAGTCGATAAATTCAATATCAAGATTTGCAAGAAAGATGTCAATATTGATGATGATTGAGTATTTTTGTGCAACAATGCAACAATGAAGTTTTCAGAAACGTAATGTTGCAGGTACTAATATTTTATATATAATAGTACTGGAAATGTTATTTTTACTACTCTTATGATATTATGAAATTATGTCTATTTTTTTAGCTGAAACAAAAACAACACTCACCCCATGGGCTGAAACGATTATACAAGCTAATAAGAATGCTTGTAATAATTGGATGGTGTACCCTATCTCAAATAGCAGATTTGAAGTGAAAAGCTCTACTCACAAAAGTGTCATTGTTGATTTCCAACAAAGAACCTGTACATGTAGGCGGTGGCAAATAGATGGCTTACCTTGTGGCCATGTCATAAAAGTGCTAACAATGAGCCGTTACGAAGATTGTTCGGAATTTGCTTTAAAAGCTTACTTTACAGAGACACTGAGGAAAACTTACGAGGAGTCTGTGAACCCCTTACCAAGTCCATCTGAGTGGGAGATCCCAGATGATTTGATGACCGTGAAGCCACCCATAATGGAGAGACGTCAACCGGGTAGGCCAAGAAACACTGGTCGTATTCCGTCGCAAGGTGAGCGTCCCATACAACAAGAATGTTCTACATGCGGTCAATTTGGACACACGAGGAACGATTGTACGGGTAGGGGATCGGGGAGCGGATCTGGGGGGAGGAAAAAATCTACACAAAATGGCATAAGGACTGATGAATTTGCATCCGGAAGCAGGTCACAGAACGAAAGCGTGTACCCTACTTTTGATTTCAACAGCACATTTGATTTAAATTGTCCTTAGATTAATGTAGGAAAGTAATGACTTCCCGTATTTGTAATTTGTATTGCTTGTATTAAACTGCACTTCTGAGATTATTAATTAAATCTACTTTATTCCATGAAAAATAAAACACAAACATAAAACATTATTGGAAAAGAGATACACCCGCACGAAACATTACATAAGACATTTCACATAAAAGTGCCTTCTACATGAAATATTTGTTATTTATAACTAGAATCCATGCATCCTCATACTCTAAGTCACTTCCCTCGTGCTCCAAAATGTAATGATCTTTAACCATTTCTAAAAGATCTTCGTCGTTGTTTGGATAACGATACCTGTTTTTAAGATGATGATACCATCGATTGAACCATGTGATTTTTTCCTTTAAATCCATCCACTTACCAACAATATCTTCTTGTGTTCGGTGCTTTCCTTCTCCCAGCGAGAGGTTAAACATAGCTGTTATGCGGGTCCATTCATCACCTTCAAAGCAATCAGGGTTAAGCATGGTTACATCATCGTAAATGTTCATCCAACATCGTGTTACCACCATTACCTCTCTTATCGTCCATGGATGTGGAGTATTCGACGGAGCAGCTGCGTTGGAAGAAGTTGCTTGATTGGAGGCCATTTTTTAAATTTGTTTGTTAGTTTGTTTTAATTTTATAGTACTTAAATAAGAAAAAATATTGGCATACAATTAGGTGGATTCTCATAAGTAATGTTTGATACTGTTTGAAACGACAAATATACTGTTCGAAAAGACAATACATTATGCAGGCTACGAACCAGTAGTCAAAGTCTATGAAACCGTAGTCAAATAATGTGAAAGAGTATCCAATTGTCAGATACCTTATACGGAGATACTATTTGAAACGACAAATATACATCTTCGAAAAGACAAGACATTATGCAGGCTACAAAGCAGTAGTCAAAGTCTATGAAACCGCAGACAAATAATGTGAAATAGTAGTCCAATTGTCAGATACCTTACACGGAGATACTGTTTGAAACGACAAATATACTGTTCGAAAAGACAATACATTTTGCAGGCTACGAAGCAGTAGTCAAAGTCTTTGAAACCGTAGTCAAATAATGTCAAAGAGTATCCAATTATCAGATACCTTACATGGAGATACCATTTGAAGCGACAAATATATTGTTCGAAAAGACAATACATTATGG